GGAGGTAGCCGCAAGCCTCGATTTCTGAGGCTACAGCAAATTCCTCCCAGAGGAACGGAGAGCGAGTCAAATATTTCCTCCATAGCCAGACCATCAAGTGGCACATAGCTCTGATTCATTATGCTGTTCTTTAGCACCTGAGTCTTTTTTTTTACCCCTTTGGAAACATGTGCAAAGGGATCTTGCAGCACCTTGGAAATATTCTTGGTCCACACCAAGAGTATTTCAATTGCTAACCATGAGCATCAAGACTAGAGAAGGAGCAGCTAAAGCTACATCTGCTAGGGGCTCCTTCTTGTTTGCGCACCAATGTGAAATGCTGTGCTGAACTATTAAAGCAAGCATATGCTAATATGCTCAAGGAGGCCTTTCAGTAATAATAAGCTAGCCAGCATTTGCACCTGGAAGTCATATATTCTCAAACTAATGAGCTAATGAAATGTTTAATAACCCTATGGAGGGAAAAAAGCTCCTACAGTCAGTTCCTACTCTGGCTGAGCAGCTGATTGGCTTGGCCATCTTTTTGATTTCTAACCTATGTAACTCCCCCCTCTCCCCTCTTTTTTTCCTTTCATGTTTTTAAATTTTGTCGTCACTTTGAACTACACTATTGGATTGCCATACCTCAGGACCTAAGTGCCGCTCACATGATTAATTGCATAATTGGCCTAATTTAGTTTACTTACTGCTTTCAACCTTCTGTATGTAGGTGTTCAGTTCAATGGTTATCTGCAGGGAGAACTATTGAATTAGCCTTCACTTTTACAGGAACAAAACTCTGACTGATTTAATTGGTTGCACTTAATCCAGAGAAAACAAAAGGGGTTGAATTCAGAGATCTAGCCATGTTAGCCTGGAATATCAGTATACAAAGGGATCTTGTAACACCTTTGGGACTAACTGTGCAGAAGAAGTTGTAGCATAAGATTTCCCAGACTTGGCCTACTTCCTCAGATGAAATCAGATGCATCTGGGGAAATAGATCAAGTTTATGAAAGCTTATGCTTTAACTTCTTATAGTCTCAAAGGTGCTGCAAGATCTCTTTGCATATAGATCTAACAAAGGCTGATAACTCCTTTAAAAACCATCCCTCTGTTGTTTGTGTAGCTAACTTTCAAAGCAGGTTGTCTCTAGAGGTTGGAAGTGTTACTTTTGGGAACTACAAATCCCACAATCTACCAGCCACTATGGTCTGATCATAAGCCAGTACACTTGATGGCATGAACTTCCCAGTGCAGAAAATACTATGGTGGCTGGATAGGTCATTATTTCACCAAAACATCCACCCAAACAGTTTGCCAAGTGGCACCCTGACCAAGAGTGGTCAGTGTCTTCAGCTAGATGAGGTAGAATTTCTCTAGATGCCATGTGTAAGGCACCTGGGGGTTTGAGCAAGTAGTGGTTTGAGCATTGGACTATGATTCTGGAGACCAGGGTTTGATTTCCAACTTGGCCATGGAAACTGAGTGACCTATGGCAAGTAACACACTCTCAGCTCCAGAAAATCCCACAATAGGCCTTAGGGTCACCATAGGTCAGAAACTACTTGTGGGCACACAATAACAACAAAAACAAAAACAACAGGTAGGGGTGTCAAATCCAGACTCCTTCACCTTGTGCTTCTGTGAACTGATCATTGATGACTGTGCTGTGGCTCTACCAGATGACTCTGGGCAATGCCTCCATTCAGATAAAGTTGGCAGAGTTAAAATCCGGAAAGAACTCCTCTAACTTTAATGATTGTGTAGAAGAGGGAATTTCAGCAAGTGTTACTTGTTATCTGGTTTCACAAAAAGCAACACCTGGTTCATATTCTTTCTTCTACACAACAAATAAATGTACAGGTGTCTCCAGTTTTCACTCTGTCATCCCTATAAGGTACCAGTAAGGGCCTATAATAGCCTAAAGAAACTAGATCCTGGTCTTAGGAGCCAAGCAGGGTTAATCCTGGTTAGTACTTAGATCAGAGACTGCCACTAAATACCAAGTACTGTAGGCTTTATCAAAGAGGAAGGGACTGGCAAAACTATCTCTGATTATTCTTTGCCTAAAAAATCCCTATGAAATTCATGGGGTCACCATAATTCAACAGGTGACTTGAAGGTACATACACACAATGGCCTATCTGCCTCTATAAAACTGCTAGTTGTTATCTTGCTCCTTGATCTGAAAAGTTTATGTCCAGCTATAAATTAAATTATTGATTGATAAGCTCCTTCCTTGCCTCTCTGCTTAGCTGTCCACATGTAGGCCTTTCATTGCCACTCCCACAAAATCCTGCTTGAAGAAAAACTTTGGGTTAGCTCCACAGAACAAAGGCTGATGTCTCCTTAAAATGACAGCCCTTTGCTCTCTTTGTAAGAAAGTTTCAAAGCAGGTTGTGCTTAAAGTTGTTGTTGTTTTCTTCTATCTTAGACCTCTTGGCCAGGAACAGTCTGGTGTCTGGTTGGAATGCTGTTCATTATAGGATTGCCAGTTTGAAAACTGGAGATATCTTCTTTACTTTCTATGGGTGTAAATGGAAGTTCAGCATGCATTGTTTGTCACACAACCAAGAAGCAAGCAACAATCTGCTGAAATTCCCTCTTCTATACAATCAGTAAAGATACAGGAGCCCTGCAGTTTTTGTTCTGGCAACCCTAGGTGGTTTGTCCCTACAAAAATAGACCCATTGAATCAACTGTTGAATGGTAAGTCAACACCTTGGGAAATCCAGCTGATTCAATGGCTTTACTCTAGTATGAAACAATAATGATATTTAGCTCTCTATCACCTCATCTTGGTTGGACCCCCCCCCCCTAAAAAATCTGTTTTAACAAGTGTGATTTGTGAGACTTTCCCAACATTTGGATTTTTAAAAATTTACACCCCATTTCTCATTTTAATGCAGTTACGAGCTTAATTTGTTACATGTGCCAACTCCCAGGCTAAAGGTGGATCAGGGAGGCTTAATTGTCATTTTGTTTTTTCATTAGTCATGCCCAAAGAGTAAACATCTGTCTTTGTATGGAGAAGCAGT